CAGCAAACTCTTTCTTCTGAACATGGAAGGATGCTCTCACACTGACAGCATTGCCTAAGGTCTCTCTAGGATGCGTTACTGTTACTAAGCGGCACATGCTATCCATGCGCTTTACCCCGTCTTGTTCTTATTAGCAGTACAGCTGAGACCCAAAGAATCAGACTGCTGATAACTGGCAAGGTTGGAGCTTTCACCTGTCTTTGACCTCTATTACATTTGTCATCTTACGTCATGATGTTTTTAACTGTCTCTTTTTTCTTATTGTCAATAATTCAGTGAGACTTCCTAAGTGCTCAGGCCTGTATGTAGAAACCGTTTTGTGTGCCTTGGGGAGAATGAGTCTCCCCTAGCATTTTGTTCTCAGGAAGCGTAGACAAGCGCCTGTGTAGACGCACACCTGTGTGGACAGCAGTCTGCGTGTTGAATATACTGGTTTCCATGCTTGTCTCTTCACATAGACTGTGTGCTTCCTGAGCACTCTTGGATTATTCTGGGAGTTAGCCTTCAAGTCCTTTAAAAACGGGTCCTGACACACAGGTGTGCAGTGTAAAATAAATGAGTGAGTGAATAAACAAACTCAGAAGTGAGAGACAGTATTCTTTCTGGGAGCTTACAGTCTTCTTAGAGAAGTCAAGTTTGACGTTTACATTACATACAAAGAAACAAAAAATTGCTTTATTTTAAGAGAAACTTTGTTTATAGGGTTTGTTTTTTTTTAACTAATATAAAACAGATTCCCAGCCTGTAGTTCATGTAATTGCTTCCCGGCGTCAGGATTGGTCAGAACATGAGATTGCAATGGAGACTAGCCCCACCATAATATATCAGGATGTATCCAGTGAATCACAATCAGCTACTTCAACAATCAAAGCCCTGTTAGAACTCCAACAGACAACAGGTATGAATTCACATGCTCAATGAATGAAGCATGTTTTCTCTAGAGATGGGTTGCTAAAACACTCCGCTATTACATAGTTTTTGCACATTTCCCCCTCTGGACTTGTCTATAATCATTGGTACAGTTTATTTTTCTTTAAGATGTGCGTAGGGGAAGCATAGATGGAGTGTTGTTACCAGAACAGAGATAGCATGGGCGGGCTGACGTGTACTTACTGGACAATCCTCGGGCCAGCAGAAGGGAGTGGGCATGTCACTTGTAAGCATAAGCATGGAACAGGCATAGGTGTATCTCAGGTGCTAGATATATTTAAGAATATCAGGACACGGATTGCAGGGCCCTCCTGTCCTCACTGATAATATCAGCACAATTTTTCAACCATAAAACACAGGTAGTTTACATGTAAACATTCTCATTTGTTCTCAGCTTATTTTCAGATTTATTTATTTATTTTTGTGTGGGTTGTCCACTAAAGCATCTGTGTATAATAGGGTCTATCAGTGTTTCTAGTTACTAAATGTCTGTGAAAGACTTTAGAACAATTCCATGTAAGTTATACTGAGGGTTCTGTTATATAGGGCAACAATTACGCAAATATTTTGGGTTATAGTGATGGCCTCATCTAACCCTTTTATGTTTTGGAAAAGTTAGCTGAGACTGAGAAAAGTTAACCAGTGGTCAGTGGCAGGATGGTGGCCAGGGCCATCTCTGCTTGTATGATCACAGCAAGGACTCTTTAGGTTTGGTTTCTTTGTTTAAAATGATTGTTTTGCTTTTGTCACAATCTATGCTTGATGGGACCAGTCTTTTAGTGGACTTAGTTACTGAATACTGTTTATTGTAAGTTCCATTCTATGATCTATACTTATTTGATATAAATGTAGATGATTTCTTCTATTAATTATTTTTAGCCTTGGCCATCTTTCTTTCAGCTGCTTGTCTTCGAAAAATTCAACCATTTTCATCAATTATTTATATAGATAGGAACATTTAGTGAAGAGTTTTTTGTTGAAGAAGTGGTAAAGATATTTAAAAATGCATCTATACATATACTATTATTAATTATAGCTGTTTTATCACACGTTTTAGACATAGAAGCAGAGCCCCTATTTTTATCTTAGCACTGCAGGTTTTTTTTTTTTTTTCTTTTTTTTAATTCTTAAAGAGTCATTAAAGTCTTAGGACTTTTTTTTTTTTTTTTTTTTTTTGCCCTATCTTATCTTAAATTGCATATATATATGGATAGGGTCTCACTTCATAGCCCAGGCTGGCCTGGATGTAGCCCAGATCTGCACTGAACTCAACAATCCTCTTCCCTCAGTAAAGGCTGTATGTACTTATGTTGGAGATGAAACTCAAGACCATGTATATGCCAGACAAGCACCCAGCATTTGGGTAGCATTCTCAGGCCCTTGGATTTTAGTAAGTCAAATGAACCAATCAATGGGGAGCGCTACTCTGGGATATGCTGTGGAGTAGTCATGCTGTTGTGAACTGAGGGTAACAGTGATTACTTTGAATTAAAAGGAAATGCCATCCTAGGAGGAGCATAGAAAGAGCAACAACTGCTTGAACTAGAGTAATGGGGGGGGCTTGAGTGAGATGGCATATGAATTACTGTAGGCTGCTGGGCATGGTTATGCAGGTTGTAGGCTAGACAACCATACAGAGCAGCCTGCCGTTTTCAATTCTTACCTTCTTAGTCCCTGCAAGTGTCGCACCCCAGACGTCTGCTTCATTATTCCCATAGACAGCCCTGGTTTTAGTACTTGTCTATAATAAAAGTTAACTTTTCCCCGACTTTTTTATGCAGTAAAGGAAAAATTGGAATCTAAACCAAGACAACCCACTATTGACTTGAGTCAAATGGCAGTACCTATTCAGATGACCCAGGAAAAGAGACATTCTCCTGAGAGTCCATCCATTGCTGTGGTAGAGTCAGAACTAGTTGCTGAATACATCACTACTGGTAGGTGCCTTCTTAAAACATAGATTTAAGGTAGTGCTACCTTTGTGGATTTCATGGGGTGCTCATTGGGGGAGAACATATCTATATTTCTAGTGATTTTCCTGTTGGTTTTCAGAGCAGATTGACATTCTCTTTGGGGTTTCCCTGACTTTAATACCCCCCCCCCCCATTTCCCTGACTTTAATTTCACATGCACGCATGTACGGATGCACACATACACACACGGAAAGCAGATTAGATATTTCAGCGTGGTCCAGCAACAAAATACTAATGAGATTTTGGGTATGGTACCTATGGAGAAGTAAAATTCTTTCTCTTACATTCAAGTGAGGCCACGCCTGGAATACTGATTTCTCTTTTGGATACTTTATTAGCTGGAAATCTGAAGGAATCCAGAGGGTAGTGATGTAAATAATCCAGGGGTAAGGAGAAGTGGTGTGTGAAGTGAGCTCCTCTTTTATGTTTTTTTTTTATTTAATAAGCACTGATTAAAGGAGAACATAAAGTTTCAGGTACTAGAATGTTCCAGGTGCAGGAAAAGGAGTTCTTTAGCATCATTTGCGAAGATACTGAGACTGGTCGATTAAAACTGCCCAGAAAGAAAATCCAAAGAAGATAGTGGAAAACTGTTTACTTCACAGATGCTTAGCAGAAAGGCAGTTGATGCAGAGGCCTGTATGCCGAGGAACTGAATGTTAGTCTCTGCAGTAGCCTAGCTAGAAAATAGTAAACAGGTGAAAAGACCTGTGATTTCTCCCTACTTATCCTTGACAGAGCGCATTGATGAGGGGACAGAGGTAGCTTCCCCCGGTAAGTGCTGGGCGCCCATTTGTAACATAATGAACAGCAAATGATGGTCACTTGTGGGGGAGTCACTTACATGGATGCGCTCTGCTCTGCTACAGGGAAGCTAAGCTTCGCTAGTGAAGGGAACAAAATACTATTCTGCAATGTGGGAAAATGAGCACTTTGCTGAAAAAAGAAGAGAGAGAGAGAGAATTGTTTAAAGAAATAAATGACTTTATGGGCTTATGAGGGCCAGCTAAGGTCACAGCATCTATTTCACAAATGTTCTTTCTGTGGCCTCCTTCCATAGCTACCATCTCTTAGACACATAGCCACACTGGGCGCTTGCTTTGACTTTAAAGCTAGCTGCCCTGGGCCCTGTTTTTAAGTTCTTTAGTGGGTGTTGGTTTTCTTGGGTTTCACTGAACTTTAGTCTCCTATACTGTGGGCATTTGGCATGAAGAAATTTATAGGCTCTTGAAAGAGAATTATTTTTACGTAGTATTATTTGACCTTTTGTTGAGTCCAATTTGTTTCTTTAATTTAAAAAGTCTCAGTGTTGCAGCTGGAGAGATGGCCCAGCAGGTAAGAGAGGGTGCGCTGCTTTTCCGGAGGCCCTGAGTTTGGTTCTCAGTACCCACATTGAGCGCCCATAAGCCTGTAACTCCAGGCTGTCAAACACTTTCCTGTGGCTCTATAGGCACTCAGATACATGTGGTATGTCCACCCACATGTGTCTGTGTGTATGCACACACCCATAAAAGTAAAAGTGTGAAAAATTTTATTCTAACAGTTATCAAATCAAAATATATGGTTATCAAAATGGTCTTTATGATCTGATAATTTCATTAGCAATTTATTATTTATCTTTCAGATGTCATTTACTTTTGATGATGCTTTCATTTAAAAATTGCATTGATTTGCTTGCTTGAGTTTAATGCCATAATTTATTTTTCTTCTATTTAGCCCTGTTGTAAATTATTTCAGTAGATGTTTAAATATAAATCCTGGCTCTTTATTTTCAGTTTAGCTGAGAATATATGGACAATTTTATTAACTCACATAGTTTAAAATGCAGTGTAAAGGCAAACTGTGAAATGCAGGGAAGTAGTGTTGCGCAGAGTTAAAGGAGTCCAGGTGATGTTCTGTGATCTCATGGTACGTGTAGCTCTATTAGTAGTTAGAGAGAAGCACTGCATTTGTGAATGTACAAGGAAAAGTGTTGCAATCGTAGTTAGAGCTGGGGTTTAGTCCTTAGACCACCACACAGGTACTTTGACCTATAGGTGCAACTCACTCTTGGGCATTCGGCTGTTTCTAAGCATGGAACAGTGCTACTTGAAGTTGAAGATAAGCTACATCACCTTACAATTATTGGTTATTGGAGGAGTTTTCATAATCTCAAAACCCTTAGCTCATTTACAGATTTTTTTTTTTTTTTTGCATATTCTTGATACAAAGACTTTCCTTCCTAGTAGCTAAAGGCATTTGAGTGTTCTATAAGTTTGGATGTGACAAATGTTTATACTGTTAAAACTTGATATTGAGGCTTGTAAAAGATGACTCAAATTGGAGGGGACTGTGATAGGGATGTAAACTGAAAAAAAAAATAAATGAATTAAAAATAAAATAAATAGTAGTAAAAATAAAGATGGCACAGACTGGATGGGTAGTTTGAATGAGTTCTATGGCAAGAGAGAAGGAAGTGGGTTGGTTCCTCGAACTTCACTCTTGCTGATCTATTTGAGCTAAAACTGAGGTAACGGAGCAACCTTTTTTTCTGTTGACCCTTTATTTATTTAAGGACCATTTTCAACCCATTTCTTCATTTTCCTCTTGTACAAAGAAACAGCAAGTTTTTATCATCCCACGTAAACACAAGCAAACAGAGCTAAGCTCTAAGCTTTCATTGAAAACAAGGAGCTTTAAAGTCACAGGAGTGGTTGGAGCATAGTAGGACAGGATGCCTTCTGCAGCATCGTTTTATTCTCTGACATTTCAGGAATCATAGGATGTGAAGCAGTGTCTCTTCCTAGAAAGGAGCAGTGCTAGTGTTTGGACTGCATTGTTTTTCCACTTTCCTTAATGATGTGTCTAGGGTTGTGGAAATATTGTTTCCCTGTGACCTCAGCAGGCTAAAAGTCACTGGAGAAAAGCCAACCATTCACAGGAGGGTGTCACTTTAAAGGCATGTTCTACCTGGGTGATAACAGTGTTCACAGTTCCTCTCCATACATTTTCCCCCTCATCATTACAATAGCTTTGTTCCCATTTAGCAGATGAGGAAGCAGTTTAGTAAGAGACTCACAGAGTACCACAGTTTCTAGATGAACAAGTTCTGGTCTTCTGCCTCTTAGTGTGTAGTACCACCCTCTGAGATACATGCTCATATACGTGCTTAAAATGATTGGTCGCTGGTTACAGTTGCTGTGCTGCTTTCTGGAGAAACATCACCACCTCCTTTATTTTCAGTCAGCCATCGCTCCCAGCCCCAACAGCCTTCCCAGCCCCAGCGGACCCTGCTCCAACATGTGGCTCAGTCACAGACTGCGACACAGACTTCGGTGGTGGTGAAGTCCATCCCAGCGTCTTCCCCTGGAGCAATCACCCACATTATGCAACAGGTTGGGTTTCTTCTCCTTCTTCTCACGTTCTGTAATGGCTCTATTCCCAACATAAGGTTCACATTTGTCTTCTATTTGAACAAGGAGACACACCTGAACTATAGAGTGTATGTGTAACTCATCTGTCTATTAGGAATAGCTACTGAGTTATAGGTCTGAACACCAGGAAATAATTAGAAAGCAGTTTATTTTTATTTTTTAATATTCTAGAAGCTCTTAATAGTAAGAGACACAGAAACAATAACCAGTTAGATTGCCTGGGGTCTCATAACATCAGAACTGGTTACTGTTTCTGTGTCTCTTACTATTAAATAAAGATTTACTAGTGGAGTAA